GGCGACGTGGCCTGCCCGCCGTCGGCCCCGCCCGGGCCCTACTCTGCCTTCCTGTGGTGCCCTCCCTGTTTTCCTCCCTATCCCTGAAACACCCCATGCAGTGCCACACGCTGGGGCGTAACGGAGCGCTGGTTGCTAACCCCGGGTTTCTTCTTTCAGCTCCCGAGACCAAGAAGAGGGACCAGCCGCTGCACAAAGCGCAAGGCCGCCGAGGGGCCCGGTTCGGACCCTGACCTCTAGCCTGAAACTTCAGCTTGTGAGCGTGGGGGAAAGGAGGCTTTGTCTGGAGAACCACAGTTGCCCTTAGTGCGAAAATATGCCTAGGAAGGCTGGCTAGAAAATGATATTATTTTGCTCTAGTAAACTCTGAAGTCATTATTACCTCATAAACAGGGAGATAGCTGAAGCTACCAGTTAAGTAGCAGCAATCTGGTACAACTACTCAAATTATTGCTTACATTTGCAGCAATCTGTTCATATATTAATACAGAGATTTACCAATTTAGCAGTTACTCATCTGGAAAAATGTTCATTAATCTCATATATGTAGGAGAATATATACTTCGGTCTTTATACACCTTCTGTCCGTACAAGGATCGGTGTTACCCTGATGATTCTGAGAACCTAGAAACATCATCTTCTCTTTTTCCTTTCTTTTTCCTTTCTTTTCCCATTTTTAGGTAGCTATGTAGTTACAGTGCTATTTGGCTTGTGAAGGGGAGACTCGCCTGTTAAGCTTTAATTTTTAAGGCTGACTTACACATCCTGAAAAATGAAAAGATTTTAATGAAAATACTGACAGACCCTTAATTATATAGCTAGACTAACACCTACAATAAAAAAAGAAGGAACATCCATAATAATATTGTAAGTTGCATTTTCATGAGTGAGACAAATGCAATTTGCTATTGAAGTAATTTTGCTCTGCAACAAAATATGTTTTATGACACTGTCTGGGTCTTGAATTAAACAGCAGTTGCATATTCAGCTGTTCTGTATGCCCTGCATTACGAGGAAAAGGCGAGCCATGTTGCTTTCCTTATAGAGCAATTTAAATAATAAAACGTATTTTTTTAAAGCACAGTGCTCATTTGCAACTCTCTGGGATAGTGCATACCAACAGCATCATTATTCTTCTCCTGTCTGGTTAGTCCTGTCATGTTAGCAGGGATAGCGGGAAGAAGTTGCAGCCTTTAGGATCTCACTGCGCCCTGAAAGTTGCAGATGGTGATCCTGCAGCTGGCTGTGACTTACTCATGAGACAGCTAAACGTGATGCAGAGCCATCTATCCGCCAGCATACTGTACAGCAGCTTTAGAAAGGTGGAAGTGCAGAAAGATTTATAAATGGGTTCCTGCTTTCTACTACCCTTTATCTAGGGATTACAAAGTGCCTTGAAATTTGAACAATTTGTATGCCTAACTTCAAAAAGAAAGAGAGATTGGGAAGCTTGATGCCAAAAGACTTCTCAGCTGTTTCAGATAGTGGTCGGGTTACTTTGGCTATGTCCACATGAAAATGTGCAGACCAAAGCAAATGATCTTCACCTGCACTTCAGGTTGATGGAGTGTCTCTGTAGTTGTACATACCTAACACATCCCACCAGCAGAAGGCATTGTGGGCATACCCCATGTGTTATAAATTATACCCTTTTATATACCAATACCAAATGAATTTGGTGAATACCAAAGCTCCGTCACCAAGGTCAACGTGTCAGCTCCCTTCATGCAAGGGACAGCAGACTAAGCCTACTTATGGCACACAGCTATCGCTGGGGAGAAAGTAAAAACTGGGAATGGGAATACAACTTTCCAAACTGCACAGGGTGGTTGCAGCAGGCGCTTCCTGCTAACCAGGGCACTTATACTTTCATCTGAGATCTTTTACAAATTCCTAGAGAAGGTGTCTTTTCATCCAAGCACTGCGAGCAGTTTGTCCGCTAAATAGCACAAGAAAGCCTGGTATACACTGAAAAAATTAAATCATCTCTGAGCAAGAAAAAAATTTAAAAATATCTGTGAATAGCATTACTCATACTGACTGGCTAGCTTTGATCTTGGTGGTCTTAACCTAATATCAGTGTCCTGTGGTATAAAGTGCAACCCTGTAGTGATTTTCATGCTTACGGATTTTGTAACATTTAGCTCCACTTTTAAGAGCAGAAACTGGGGCACAGACACACCAAGTATCTTGCCCAAGCTCACAAATGGCAGTCGGGAACAGCATCCAGGTTTCATCAGTCTTGGTTCAGCTTCCGATCAGCTCTCCCCGCTGCGGTTTCTTTAACAGCTCACAAGAGTTTTAGAAGTCAGGCTATCGAAAAGATTAGCATGCTGTTCAAACCCTCCTGATTTTTCAGGGTTTTTGTCAGCATTTGGGATAGTGCTGCTTAAGGGCACCTCAAACATTCGTTTACTGGACAGGTTTTAATTTGTAATTATTTATACTCCTCTTGGTACATGATGTCTAGAGAAGATTTATTTTTGGATGATGAACCTTTATTAATCATTAAAAAAAAAATTTACCGTTTTCAAATGCCTTCCCTCTAGAAAAGGAGAGCCCTCAGCAAATTCAGATGCTTGGTAATGAATGCCCTCTTCTGTTTAAATCCGGCATTGCTGCTGTAGAGGAACACGGCTACTCAACCACAGGACTGCAGAATTCTTCCTCAAGGCGTATTTTACAAATACCATCTTGCGCTTCTTTCCAAGTAAAAGTAATAATTCTTAGGAGGAACCGGTTTCAGCATCCGGGCAGTCCTCATGGAGATGCCTTGACATGGGCAGAACTGTAATTTCATTTTAATGATATTCTCTAACATGGTCCCTTTGTTTTCAGCTGTTGACTCATAGATATATAGCACTCTAGTCTCATAACCAATTTTATTAACAGCATGATTTTGTTATAAGCGCCAGCATTTCCGTCGGAATTCTGAGACGGATAACACTGGGACCTGTGATTTGTTCCTCTTTCATCTATCATGGGTGACTCCTGTTTCTTCAAGGGCCTCTCCTTTTTTACCTGATTTAAACCACTTTATCAGAGGAACCGTAGAAAGAGCTGTCACTTAATTCAATTTAATGACGAATTTTCAGGACATTGGGTGGCATAAGAAGGGCTCTGACCTGTACAAACTGCTATGTAAAAATGGCAGTCCTGATGGATTGAATACACTGAATGGTACTGTGTCTCTCAGCTCCTTGATAAGCCCAGAAACTTGTGTAGTATGAGTAAGCCTAATTAAGGATGAAATAAGCCTTGCCTCTCCTAAATGCTCACCCTGATACATATGCCTTATGTGGAGAGAAAGCCTCAAAGGGAAATAGCAGCCACCAGCCACTTCACTGTCCTTATTCTTGTCCCTGCTCTCTAGCACATTTCCTGCTGGTGCCCAGCTCAGCGCTCGTCTCCTGTTCCCTCACCTCCTTTGCTGTCTGTCTTGTTTCCCTGGGTATGACATACAGATGTTTATAGCACCCTTCTTCCTCAGAGAGACCCCAGCCTCCCACCTTGTGTCCCCAAGAAAAGCCCCAGTCCAGCTCCCTCCCCTTTTGTGTGCTGCCTTTGCCTTCATCGCTCTCCAAGACCCTTCCCTGCCATCTTGTTTTACCCTGCTTCATCAGCGGTTGAAATCCCACCCCCTCCTCGCCATCTGTAATTGCCACTTACCTGCTCCTGGGCTCCCCGGCTCCAGTGGAGAGGGACTAGCTTACAGGGGCATGCAGAACCACGCAGAGGCAGGGTGCAGCAGGAGGGCAACTGCCAGAAACATCACTCCTCCTTAGTTGAATTAGCTGCTGGAAGTTCATAGTCGAGCAGACGATTGCTGAAGTCCAGCAGTTTTAGCGTGAAGTTAAGTAAGAGCCGAGCAGCATGTTTTGGTCAAGGCCAATTTGCTCTGTCTAATTTTGCATTTGGCAATTTGGAGAGGAATAAAGCTGAGCGACCACAGTAGCCCGTTTCTCCAGCAGTGGGTTTTGCAGCACCAACCATACCACTGAAATCACCTGGCAAGTGACTTACAGAGACAGGTTGAAGCACAGCTTAGCAGTCAGGTTCTCCTTTTTACTGCCTAATTGATACCAGTTTAACTCTACTAAAGAATGACTCAGACGTATGGAGACTAAGCTGCATTGCTATACTGGGTCTTGGAAGCATTTATGTGAGGACCCCAATATTTGCTTAAGGTCATCTTCCTGAGCTTCCCTTTCAGAGCAAATGTGGTTGGGCTCCTGCTGTCCTAATACTTGACTGTACACGCCTTTTTGCTCTTCTTCTTTTTTCCGAACTCTACTTTTGAGTAGATCTACTGCAGACCCCTTTCGACCACATATTAACCACACAATTAGCAGCAAAAACGTTCAGTAACTTGTTCCCATGGCTCTGTGGAAACAGTTTCAGTTAGCATGCTGTAGCTTTCCATGAAGGGGACTAAAACAGCCTTTCACCTTTTCTCTCCAGGCAATGGATGGCTCCCTCCATTTCAGATGAACCGTCATCTAAATCCTGGTGTCAGTACTTACATTTAGACAATAAAATCTCAACATTACAGATGACTTGACAGACAAAGGTCCCTCCCTAGGGAGCAGTCCGACAAGGTTACAGCAGTAGCTTACCTCTGGGTATCATCAGGCTAATACCTGCGTTCTTGCTTTAAATCCTCCGTGTTCCACTGCAGGGTTTTATTTGATACTTTCATTGCATCTCCTATAGCATGACTGTGTCATTGGTCCCTTACAGGAGCAAGATCTTCCTGTCCAGGAAGATAGGTTACCGTTACCGACAGCTGTACAGATGTGACGCAGGGATGCTCAAGACAGATTGAGTTGTTCTGCTCGGTGCGTAATGGCAGCACGTACTATATGAAAGCAGGGAGAGCTGCACAGTGTGGCGCTGCCCTGAGCTGTGGCATGCCACGAGTAGGCACCAGCTCAGCTTGTTCAGGTAGGGCACCTCTCACTGTGCCCCATCAGTCTCACAGCTGCTTTGCTTGTCTCTGGTGGCTCTGCCCATGTGCCCCCTTCTTCAGCTGCTCCCAACTCCTCCTCCTCCCCGCCCCAGGAGAGCATTCAGTTCATTTTTCCCCCCGTGGCTACTTGCAACTTCATTCTCAATAGCTTCCCTTGAAGGCACTTCTCTGCGTGGGTTCCTCACTGCTTTTTTATTTCAGTCCCTTTTATAGGTAAGCTTTTCCCCTTGACTTAGAGAGGCAATGGTTCTCCTTAGCCCTTGCAAACAAGCTCTGCCCACTGCCCTTTCCTTCTGCCAACTCCCTGCTCACTCCCTGCCTCCTCCCTCTTACCTCCACCACCTGACACTCATCATGGGTCTCTCCCATTCCCAGAATGTCCCCACTTCTGATTTTTTCCCCTCAGACTTTTATCGTTGAATATGGAAATGGAAGTGAAAGTTATTCTCTATTAAACTGAAAAGGCCATCACAATGCAATGTAATGCTAGACTGTACCTACCCACAACCAGAAATACCTAATCACGCTGGGTTTTGTGGGATGGCAAAGCAGAATTTGAGCCGATGCTTTTTCTTTTATTTCTGTCAGTAAGGACCGAGCAGGGAGCATGAACATCACTTACAACATATTATGATTGTTATTGTAAAAAATTACAGGTTGTTTTTACTAAGAAAGGAAGAAGGCTATAAAATAGCACATACTAGGAAACTGCCCGGAAAATAAACGTTTTCATGTTTTTACTTGTGTTCTAGAAATTTGCCATCTCACTTTTTCATGTACCTGAATCATATTGTTCAATGATACTTTTAAACATTGCAAACTGTTTAAGCTGTGGAAGGGGACTATACTTCTGCTAGACACCTGCTTTCCATTTGCAGGTGCTCAATGAAGGATAGAAGACCAATGAACTGAAAATGGATGTTAACTGTATTTCCCCGTGTTTCCCAGAATAGCCGACTGGTTTGCTACAGAGACAGCAACACAGGGCAAGTGGCATGGTTATTTTACACTTTAAGCCCATTCTTTGATGCTGCCCCACAAACCTCTGCCTTATACCCATATTTCCCTACAGAGGTTTCACCATTTCCCTAGTAACAGCTCATTTCAAGAACAGACTGAAATTTGTGAAAGTCTTAAGCAGTTGTTGCTACATTATATTCAAATATCCCAGAGAGATCGGAGGAAGCACTGAATAGGGAAAAACAGAGTTATTCTTTGGCTTACTATTGTTATGCAAATAAGGCAGGAAAAGGGCCTGCCGTAAATGATCATTAATGGAATACAGTGCATCATTCAGCTTTCTGCAACTAGCTTTATCTAAGACGAGGAGTGATGTCCCCCACTTACACACGGAGTAGAACTGCTCTTTCTAATAAACTGCAATACCTGATGATTCGAGATCAACCAGTGAATTACAGTAAATGTAAAAGAAGCTTGATAAATTTCTAGTGAGGGGACAAGAAACTGCTAGTTTGAAATACAACTTTATTTTTTTAATCAATATGCAATCTACAAAATGTTATTACAAGATTATCAGCATGATCTGTTTATACTTATACTGACAAAAGACCCAAATAAAATTATATTTTCCATTAAGAATAACACCACTGCTTCAGAGTTACCAAAATTATAGCTAAGAACTACTAACTGCAGCAGTTAGTTACTGTGTTTAGTCAACAAAAAGACAAATTAATGTAAAATAGAGGTGTAGACACTAATACTGCAGCTAAGAAGTCCGTCAAGTAAAATAAATGCAACTAAAAGCAACACGTGCAAACACGTTTTCAGATGTAAAGTACTTTTGGACAATTAATACGGAATCTGGAGGGAAAAAAAGCAAGAAGCGTAAGGACGACAGTGGCTTGCATCACTTTCAGTGGAGTGCACCATCGTCCTCCTTTCTGAGAGCTGCTACACAGGGGCAGCCGGACCATTGTTCCCAATCACTGCAAAGCTTCAGCTTTGACACTCAATAACACCTCTTTTCCTCTCTTTTGTGCTCTTTTCTGGTTGGAATAAGCAAGCATTGCAGGTTGCTTGCTTACTAGCATCAAGAATCTTCTACAGTGGGTTTTTTTCTGCCCATTACCAGTATTCCTTTCTTCTTTTTTTTTGCCTTTCCTTTATTCTTAGAGACTTTGATGCAGATCCTATTTTGTCAGTTAAAAGACTTCCATTTACTTCAATGGGTGTTTGAATCCAAAATTACATCAAGTACCATTTACCTACAGTAATACAATTAGCATGAGAAAGATGAACGCAAAGATAAAGTTTGTCGGTTTCAGCAAATACGACACTTTTTGTAAATAAGGCAAACACCCCATAAAAATAGCTGTTCTCATTGATTTCTGTTTAAAATATAAAACATCCCAAACCCTGCTGGTCCTTTGTGAAGGAAACACAGTTAACATCTAAATACTGCCCTGTAGTAAATGTTAGCGAAGTGTCAGCATCTTAAGTGACCCAAACAGCTGGAAGAATTTCAGTGACTGCAGGCGTTAGCTGTGGGCAAGCAGAGATCAGATATATGTGAAACGTATTCCTTTGCACGTTGCCAGTCCACCTCATGGGTTATTTAAAGCTCCAATCCTTCTGCTAGCTGAACACCGAGCATCACAACAGCTTATAGCAACTGTTCCTCATCTCCATTCCCCTCCCAAATTACAGTTAGACTACTTATAGCCCAGATTTCTAAAGAATCAAAGCCAGTATGTTTACTCACTATCACCTGCTGTAGCCTTCTCATAGAAAATGTTAGCAAATGAGTCTTAAATATTTGAGAATATTTGTTCAGTAGGTTGTACTCAAAGGACATCAGAGAATGCAAAAGAAATACTAGAAAGGGGAAGCCGGGGTGTTTCTGCTTTAGCACGTTGCAATAGAGTAGGAAATTAGAATTTGATGTGGGAAAAGAAGTCAGACAACCCAAACTTTCTTTCATTAAACTGCAGCCTGTTTTTAAATATTCTGACGGCAAGGCATACAAACATCAGTTTGAGACTGAACAGGGTAATTTTTCAGCCTTAGGCTGCACTAATTGTCAGGTTTAAACTGAAAGCCATGCATTAAACAGAGTAACTTTCTTTCAGTGTGGCAATATTTCTGTGGAATTAATTCCCTGTGATCCTGATCCAATTCCGATTAAAGTTAATGGCAAGTATCGCAGGCCTCAGATGGAAATCCAAGAGTCTGCAACATAGATAAAGCTGTAACTTGACCTTTTTACGTTAACGAGTTCAGTAAGGCTGAATGATCATTTGCACCATACCAGATATAATACAGACTCACTAGCAGGAAAGAAGACTTGTACGTGGCTGTTCATCACTTGGGCCATTCAAAACAATAGCTCATCTCTTGAGGGGTCAGCGCTACATGGGCTTCTTGAACACATCCCGAGATACAGCAGACACCTGACAGAAGAAAAGCAGCTGTTGCTTCTGCAGGACGTGTAACACCACCAGGTACCGAATGTCCAGGAAATGAGTGCTGCAAATGGGGATCCCAAGGTGAAAGAGTCCCAGAACAGCCTGGCTGTCCCCTTAAAAACAGAAAAATAGGGGCCAGCTGGCCAAGACAGACTTTGGACAATAACCACTGCTAACAGATTTATTGAATTAGCTGTGTTAATGTCAATCAAAACAAGTCAGCCTCAGACAAAGGTTAGTGCAGGTATCTGCAACACATGTTTGCTTCCTCTACCTTCCCGAGCGAAAAGGTTAATAGATACTGTAGCTCTGGTATAACCAGGGACTTCAGCAAATTGCAGAGTTCTGCCGTGATGCTAAGTATAAATGTTTTGCCCCTTAGTTCAGCTGAGACATACATAAACCAAAATTAAATATGAATAAAACAGACCAAACATGACTTGAAGGTGCTAATGGCTTCTCAAGTCAAAACACGGATGGAGGATGCAACAGCTGAGACATATTTGGATCACTACTACACTCAAACGCTTGCTTAGATTTATAATAATATAATCTGCTAATAAAAAGGGATATATAGAGAAGCCAAAATACCACAATAGTCTATTTGGGGCTTTGGCAATGCAATACCCATAAAAAACCTGCCCTCAGGACTTACTATAGAATCTATTACCTATTTCATTCTCAGCTTCCAAATGGGGGGAAAAGTTTGTTGTGATGAACTAGGTTCATATTATGGCCTTCTGTTTCCTCAGACTGGTAATTTTCTCAGTGCATATCCCACATATTTCTACTTTTGGGGAATAACATCTGTATTTTTAAACAGTGTTCATATAAACAGCTACAAGCTGTGACAAAATATAAAGTGAGCCTTAGTGCATTACTATATTTTTGTCCTCCACTAATTTCAGTTTGAAGTAAGGATAATTTTAAAAAAAACTGCAGCACAAAAACCAAACCAAAACAAAACAAAAAAACCTATTAATCAGGAGCATTTTTTTTCCATTTATCAGATTTTTTCAGACCTGAAATTACAGCCTGCAGAAAATGACAAAGGGGATAAAGTCTGAGGGGAACCATTAAAGCCTTTCCCTAAATGCCAATAATTTGTTGAAAACACAGTTAACACATTGATACAGGGTTAGTGGCTCAAGCTACCTGCTGAAGCGCCGCAGCTTCACTTCCCTTGCGACAGTCTATTCCTGCATTGTTTCCCCACAGAAAATGCTGCCTTTAGAGCCAGTAGCATGAACACATCTCCCTTCCCATGCATGGAAAGACATGCCCTCTGTCTTAAAAGTTACTCAAAGCAGCAGCTCCTGCAGTTTCCAAACCAACATCTGGAACTTGCATCCTAAAGGAGACCCACAGCAAACGGCAGCAACCAGCCATTTCTTCGGTTTGTGGGGAAAACCCTCCGCTGGTGTAAATTCTCAAAGCTTCATCAAATGAAATGGGCCTGGACTGATTTACGCTTGCTGAGGATCTGCCCCTTGTCTCACTTGCTGCAGTAGTGAAAAAGATTTGTCTAATGCTGGCACAGAAACTTCAATCACATCTGCCATACGTTTTTTTTCCCAAGAGATTACTTTGAGTGAACCTATAAAGTGCTGGGGAGGAAACGCTCGCAGCCACAGAAAAATGAAGAATACTATTGCAGAGGAACTTTTCCCATTTTACCAATGAAATCACCCAGTTTCCAACTCATTAAGCCCTTGTTGAGAATAATATTACAACTTGTTCTGTTCATATATATAGAAGGGAGCAGAAACATGGGGGACTTTGGTTTTCAAACACCACTAAAAAATGTAATTGCTCCTGCTGGACCTTACACAGATGCTGGTCTGCACATAAGCGCTCTGGCAGTTTTTATTGCTGAATATTATATGTCCAAGTGACATGAACTCTTTGAGTAGTGCCATTAGGTTTCAATACGGAGTATGAGAT